AAAGAAATACACACACACGCACGAGCATAAACACACAGGCTGAGCAAATCCAGTCCAGTAGTGGGCCTGCTTGCAGTGAGTGTTGTGAGTATGAAGATGATGAAGCGCTTCAGGAAAAAGGTACGTAGAGTTTAGGATATGGGAGGAGAGGAAGACGAGTTTGCTACATGCGGCAGGTCTTGAATTCGGCGAGCAAATTTATCCTCGCTGCCTCGTTCCAAGCTCCTCTGAAACGGCTTCGTTCCCCTGCGGTTGGGAGAGAACTGGCTGGCGGGGCAACAGGCGTTGACCCAACTCTTGCCGAGTCGTTCACCCGCGTTGTGTCGAGATCCAGGACGACTGGACGGTGCTAATACCTTTCCAGGAGTGAGCAGACTAAACGTTTATAATTGCACTTAACAAGTATGAGCTGAATAACAGGCCCCAGCGCGCTGCTAAGTTTAGTACGATATTAATGTCCGTGGGCCAGGATGCACGAACGAATGTTAAGAATCAAACTCAAAGTTATTTTCGCGCTAGTCAAGGCCTGTACAGACAACCCTGTTTCTAGCCCCACATCAATTGACCAGGAGGATTTTTTTTTTCTTATCGCTCCACTCAGTGGAATCAGACAAGATGAGACTATGAGGGTACCTGCACACCAAATCATTCTAGTCTAATCTACTGAAGTCATCACTACTCCAGTCCAAACGTTTAGAGTCCGGTTGCTCAACATGCAATTTCAGACACCCACTTCACACCACATCAGTCCACTGCAGACTGATTTGGTGTCTTGGGACCCTATGAGGTCTCCTCCGGAAAAAAAGTCCCACTATGAAATACACTGAGATTTTGCGATGTTTCAGCTCTTCGCAATGAAATTCTTGCATGGCACGAAGAAATGACGTGCGAAAAATGTGTCTTGGGCACAATAAACCCCAAGGGACTTTCGTGTCCTGGAAGCCACTTACACATTTTCATTTCAGAAGCCTATTAACCCACCCTTTTCCTCTCAGACTCCCTTTCTTCCTTTCTTCGTTATTATATTCAGGTTCCAAAAATTAATGATGCCCAACAGACGGGCTAGAAAACCCCCCCCCCCGAAGAAATGAGTGAGTGATGACAGTCCGGATCGAACTTGGTCTCGAAATGCTTCGGTTGTGTTGTGCCAAAGTACGTGACGCATTTTTGGGATCAACCTGGCTTCAAATCTGAACTTCACAGACGAGAAAGTTTAGACAGCACTGGTGAAGGTACTCTGGACTCACGATGCCTACTCGATTATGTTTACCAGGAACTGATTCTGAAGCTAATGCATTTCAGATGTCGGTCACGAGGGATCTCGACCGATAAGTATGTAGAATGGACAATATCTCCTGAAGCCTTTTCTGCCCAAATGCATACCAAAGCCCCAGCTCAGTTCACACTCTTGTGGATGAATGCCAGAACCACTCAAGGACATCTTCACAGGCATCTGTACAGTGCTGACAAAATGTTAGGAATCAATAGAAGTTCCTACATGTTGCGTGCTGCTTCTGAATTCTAAATGAAACCTGAGATGAGCTTTATCATTGGAGGCCGAGGAGTCTTCGATGAACGTTGAGCATCACAGGCGTCTAGCAGCGGAAATGCCGGGCGGTATGGCGGCTGCCTTTGTGAAGTGATCCTTATCTATGCCAAGAATCTCTTCATGTTGACAGTCAACAAGCTTCTGATGGCCTTCAATAAGGGCGTCCAACGGGAATGGATTTTTCGGAAACCTGGGTAATCCTTTAATATAGATTGGACACGTCCATATGCAAGTCCTAGCCTAGGCTTAATATTCGAACGGTCAAGCTTCTCACCTTGTGAAGTGACCGTTCCTCGATTGAGCCTCAGAAGGAAATAACAGTACTGAAGTTCACATTTTGGGTTTACACTCTGGTTGACGTATTGTCGATCCTAGTATATTTATTGAGATTCGTCTCGTTTAGAGCTGGTAAGGAGTCTTGCAAGGCCTCTCTTATCTTCCGGATGAATGAATGGACTTGTGTGGTTCTTCGCAGTTGCGAAGCTGCTGAGCCCACGTGGCAGGGTCCCCATCGCCGCTAGCTATGCGGCTAGCTCAGGTCTATAACGTTTTCATGTGCAGTGTCATTCTTCCTCTGCGTGCCTTTACAACCTCTGCCTCGTGGCAGGGGTTGGAGGGCTGTCAAGGTCTGGGTGCGCGGCCTAGTGCTTCGCAGAGTTGCGGAAGATATGTAGATCTTGCGCCGTCTGAGAAATCCCTCGGTCAGACGCAGTCGTGTAGTGTTAATGCACGGGGCCCGTGGTCTTTGTGAATGAGGTTCTCGTCTCCTTTCAGCTCTCAGGACGAACACAGTCTGTAACAGGAACACGTACCTAAGCTCCCATACGTGCTTCACTCTCCCGCCACGATCCAGACAAAAGATAGTTGTTACATCCCATGACATAGCAACCAGACCGGTAAAAAAAGCTTTAAAGTTCTGACTTTCATCAAGTTGTGGATGATTATACGTAATGATTGAGCCCGTAGGAAAATAAAAACTAAATTGGAGTCGCGCTCGGAAAGAGCAAGGACAAAGCCCTATTATAGCGCAAAAGTAATATCGCGGCGCAAATTCTCTAGACTATAAAAGGAAATGTGTATCAAGCCTCGTCGCAAACCAACCGAGGATGAGATGATATTTTAGGTACTATGCCGAAAAGTTGAAAACATGTCTATATCAGTTTATGATTTTTGTGTAGGCTAAATGAAGTAAAATTGAGGTATCGAAATAAAACGATTACAAAGTCTCCGACGTATTTCTCAAGAGTTCTTTCCCAACCATGAAAGCACAAGCAAACTCTGAAGAGGGAGCGAGTTCCATTTTCGGCCCGACGCGAAACACTTATTTGAATTAACTACATTATTATCTGTGAAGAAGTGTGGGAAATGTTTAAGCTAACGTAGTTCTCCTTCGCACCCGAGGACTGTGTCCTACATCTTTGGTTTCTTTCATTTCTGCATCGCGTCCACGAAAGAGTAGGAACCATGGTCCCATGCGGATAGAGATGTTCTGAATATTCTCCTAAACTTTGAGGAGTTGAGGGTTGAAAATTTTCAATGATAGGTATAATACTGGAATACCGGTAGCCTAGAACTTGATTTAAAAGTGTTGAAACTTTTCCTTTTAAATCAGGATAATCGGTGAAATAGAGTTTTCAATAGGGTTTGGTGTTACAAAAGTTCTCTACAGCTATGGGAAGTTGTACGATAAAATTCGGCATCAACGTAATTCTAAGACTGAGCATGGAAAAGTGAGAGTTTTGTTTGAAAATGTTCTACATAAATTTCACAGTAAACGTCAACACAAGAAGCAAAGACAGCGTGCAGACGCTCTTTTAGTATAAACGGTTGTCAGAATGACGCCTGCATCGTGTGCGTTGTCTCTGTCTTGGCCGGGATGCAATCCTCCCAGAGATGAGCGTAGGAAGTTCTCGTCTCGCACTGACTTGTTCGATCTCGTTGATCGTCTCTTGCTTTGCCTCGTTCCGTGGCCAGAGCCCTGCAGGCGTGGGAGGATGACAGACTCGCTATCGAAAGGCCATTGCAGGAAAGAGGGAGAAGGGGCTAGGATTAATTATTTATCCTCTCGTCCTTACATCGTTGGATATGCGTAGTTTATACTCCAAAAATAAAAGCAACGCACTTCGCTGTTAAACCATAAAATGGATATGAGTTTGGAGATGGGATTAAATGAGGTACTCAATAGGGTTTCATATGGCAAAGGTGACGGAATGAGAGATCAGGGATGTCGGATGAGTCAAGTCGCAGGCTATCAGAGATGCATCCTTATTTTATTTTTTTTTTACTTTCGATTTGACTGCTAAAGGTAGTCATAGATGACAGTGGTAGCTTTCCTGTATGTGGTACTTAGTGATCATTCCTCTTTTTTCTTAATTCTTGCACTGCGGTGATTTAATTTTCATTTTCTGAAGAAATGGAAAATTCTCTGAGAATATGAAAGTAATTTCTTATGTTGAATGGAAATTGTGCTCTCGCTTGAGATGGAAAAAAACGCTTCCTAAAAAAAAGAAGTTACAAGATCTGAACATATGACAACCCTGTCCTTCCACGAAAGTCTCATCCGCCCCCACCATACACTATTTGACATACCAGGTGGGATTGTAAGCAATCATACAAATGCAGGAGATAACGAAATTTTCTTGCATTTAAAATGCCAAGTGGAAAGGTCAAGAAGAGGAGAAGAGGACTTTCTCGAGACTCATTCCAACAGATCAGTCTTTTTGGACCCATCATTTTCGAAAATAGAATAACTTCGCTGTTCCTTTATTGCAGTAGAGCGTAGATTTTCCGAACGATTGGCTATCGTAATAAACAAAAAATACTAGAGCACCAGCCCAGGTACAGATCTGCCATTCTACTTGACACTTAAGACATTTACTACTAAACCACTCGTAACCATAGACACAATGGTGCAACTGGATGCTACCACCCAAATATCATCAATGAAGCTTCATTGGTTCTCAAGATACAGTAACAGGATTAGCAACAAATAGGTCTATCACCCACTCTAATAGGTTAATATGACAAATGCGGATTGATTGAATAAATAAATAAAAATCAAGTCTTTAGTGAGGATAGTGTTATTAGTGTCACGAGAAAATAGAAACTTTGCCAGGATAGATTTTCGATAAATTCCCAAGGTATGTGTGATATTTGGAAGAAGTGAGGCTTTTCTCGACCATATGCTAAGTCTATAGGAAGTTAATATGGGCACTCTATCGAGATTTTACATGGGACGATGGGAGATGGATAAGAAATCAAATTGCAAGTTGCCATGGCAACTACAGACGGAAGGAGAAAAAAACAGAGGAAGATACAGTATGTATCTATAATCACTTTGCTGTATTAATTATGTATCATGCTGAAGATTCTCTCCGTTTTACTCGATTATCTGAACACCCTTGGGTTCTGGTAAGTTCGGAAATTCCACTCCCTACTGTACAACGAAATAATGAGACTCTGCGAGGTTGGATACGCGCACCTTCTTCAAACAGTGATTGAAATAAATTAAAAGCATCTCTTAGCGAAATGGATTTCGGTAATTGCATGTGTGTATGTCTGTTGCCAGGAAAAGGCGGAAAAGGCGGAAAAGTCGGGGAAAATGGAGAAAGTGGTGGAAGGAGTGAATGGGTTCGGCGAGGATGCCTCCGCTTCCTCTTCCCTGCAGTCGCATGACGTGAGTCTTCACTCCCATTTATGATGCGGGTTGCCAGATAGGTAACTGATAGTCTGTGCTTGGTACAATCCCCGATCCATATTTCATGCGCAAGTCAAACATAAAGATAGGCCATCAATGGATGACCGCCATTGTGCAACTTTCCCTTTCTGTCCTACTCTTCCCGTCCCCTGCTCGCCCTTTATATACCGAGAATACCAATCGAATGCATTTCTCTTGCAGGATAGCGCAATGGAACGTCTCCGTAGCCGATGCAAAGACCTGGAGGACGAGAAACACGCGCTGACGATTCAAGTGCAGGGCCAGACAGGGACGATAGAAGTTTTGAATCAGAGACTCATCGAGTTCACGGCCGAAAAAAATCGTCTGTTGGAGTGAGTTCCAGGAAAATCCTGATCTTCTGACCTTTCCACGTGACATTCAGGCAAAGTATACATCCAACGGTGGAAGAACATAGGGATTAAGAATTAATCAAAGCATCGTTCCTCTTTCCTTCCATGCAGCATTAGATTAATAACGCAGAGAGATGATACAGCACTGAGCATCTCAGAGAAGGTTGAAGGTGACGTTTTTAACAATGATTCAGACTAATCACGGGATTTTTTTTACCCCCAGGAAAATGGCGAAGCAGGGAGCGCAAAAGCCTGCGGATCTATCGGGCACCGACGAGAAACTGAGGAACCTGATCCAGGAGAAGGCTGCCCTCGAAGATCGGATCCAAGACCTGGAAGGTAAGACGAGCCTTCTGACCCTTCAAATCGCGGATTTGGAGGGGGAAAAGTCCGCGCTCGTGAATCGCCTCGAGGAGATGGCACAAGAGACGGGGACGCTGTCGGCGCAAATCCGGGATTTGCAGGGAGAGAAATCCCTGATGGGGGACCGTGTCAGGGAGCTCGAAGAGGAAAAGGAATCCCTGAAAGATCTTGTCAAGGGTCTGGCGAATGAGAAATCTTCTCTCGAGATGAGCATCGAGAAATTGCAGACCGAGAAGAGTTCGTTGGAAAACTGGGTCGATGAAATTGAGGGTGAGAGATCCTCTCTATTACGACTTGTCAAGGAACGAGAGGATGAAAAATCCGCCTTTGTTGGCATGCAAAAGGAAAACTCCGATCTTCTGACTCACATCCGGGAGCTCCAGGAAGAAAACGATTCCCTGGGAAAACGTGTCGGGGATCTGGAAGAGGAAAAGTCGTGTCTGGCAGATCAAGTGAAAAATCTGGAGGAAGGAAAATCTCAACTCGGAATGTCTGGCTCTAAACTGGAAGAAGAAAATGCTTGTTTCAAGACCCAGGTGAAAAACTTGGAGGAAGCGAATTCTCTGCTGGGAACGTCTGTTTCAGAACTGAAGGAGGAAAAGGCTTCTCTCAAGACCCAGGTGAAAAGTCTAGAGGAAGGGAAGTCTCAACTCGAAATGTCTGTTTCAGAGCTGGAAGAGGAGAAGGATTCTCTCAGGACCCTGGTCGAGGGACTTGAAGGGGAAAAAGAGGCTCTGACGACCCGAATCAGGGATTTGCAAGAGGACAGAACGGCTCTCGAGAACAGCCTTCAAGTCATTCGCACCGAGAAATCCTCGCTCGAGAATCGAATCAAAGAGTTGGAGAACGAAAAGTCAACCTTGTCCGATTCCGCGCAGGCCATGGAAGAGGCTAAGTCTTCGATGATCGGCAAAGTCAAGGAAATGGAAGCCGAAAGATATTTATTCGAGAGTCGCATCAAGGATCTCGAGATGCAAAAGGCCTCTCTGGAAAGCAAGATGATCGAAATCAAGGAAAGAAAATGTTCAACCTGCGAGAAACATGCAAACGGAGAAGCCAACGCAGTGCTGCTCCGTCAAGACAAGATTCCCAATCTGGCATCTGGGCTTCAGCCGACGTCCAGGTACGGTGGGAACGCTTCCAATATCCATTCCCCTTCCCCATTCTCAATTATTTGCGGTTCATTACCCCGAACTCGTCTCTTTCAGAGGCCCCAGAAGCGTCCTTCAAACTGTGGGATCTGGAGTCAAGTATTTCTTCAGTATTTGGGCAGGTCTGACGCCCCCATGTCCCCCTCCTCTGCGGTAGAGGTGTAAAATATTTTGTATCAGAACACCTATGTCTTTTTTCTGTTCTTTTAGAGTTGCCAGTACAAGTGCAATATTGACTGATTGCTCGTATTTTTCCCCCTAGATGTCACTACCGGTTGTAGTTGTAGTTGTAGTAGTATTTTTTATGCATCCTGTTTTATTGGCTCTCAGCTACATAGGCTGTGCACACCAAATACGCCATGCAATCACGGAAACGCTTACAGAACTGTGTAATGCCATAGCATGCCATTTCGCAGTGGAGTATTTGCAGGTAGAGAGGGATTGCCCCCCCCCCCCCCCCACACACACACACAACACACGCGCGCGCGTGCACACACCCCTTTCCTTGGCACACTTTCGTCCAATGCAGGTGATTTAATGCTTCTTTAGGAAGTCGCCGTACGACAGCCTAATCGTATACCAGTCGTCCATTATGTAGAAGTAACATGGTTGTATTTCCATATTTCGGCCCCTGGCAATCGTCCTCACTCTCACCTCAAAGACAGGCAGGGCTGACTTCCCTTTTTCCAAGTGATGGGGAAGGACAGTTCATATGAAGGTTCTCAATTCTACACGCTGGTTTTCCCGTTACGAGGTACATACGTAGTAGACCTTGCTGGTGAGGATAGAAGCTGATACGAAAGATCCATCCCTTTTCGAGCGACAGGAAAATAACGAAACTAAGAAATGAAGAATACTCATTAGCAAAGAAAGCAGATGACCTCGTGACGTCATTTCGCGCACTGGGCAGAGAATTGATCATTTCTGCTTCTTTCTGGGATTTTATGGGCAGAAAAATGGGGTTTCATTTCCATCTCCAGGGATCTACAAGGATACTTTTTGTATTTTCTGCAGCGCTGAAGTAGTTGAGACCATGCACGAAAGGGAAGTCTCCATGCAACTCGAAGCGTGCAAATGGCACTTGGACCCGTTGAGTCTTTCCCTTGACAGCTCGTTATCGTCCTTGCTAATGAAGCGGTTATTTCTCACTTTTTTCCTACCTTAGCGTATACAGACCGTTGGCCCTTCCTCCGCGACGCCCTCATTACGACATTGAAACCCATAACCAGGAGCATAATGGTTCAAATTTGGATCACTTGTCCACAGACAACCTGGGATAAGTTTTCACTTGGTCGTGTGTTTGCTGGGTTTCTCTGCGAAGTTCCAAATCCTCCCCACCCAAGCTGCACCACATTGAAAAGTAACAATCAGCCCTTATAGGCATAACCCAACTTGCCCACGGGCAAATAGGCCGCTTGGAAACTCTTCTATCATGACCAGCCACTTGTCCATGCCGGCTGGGAAACAGACTTTTCACCTCTTCATGATGAAAGGTAACGAGGGTGGCTTCAAAAAATCAAGGCAAATAGTCGCTTAAAGTGCAAATTGTTTGTAAAATTTGCGATTTTCCTTGGGCTCCTTACATGTCCAGGAGTACCATTGCTAAGTGTGCAATGGTATCATATGGCTACCACGTGGACATAAATCAGAGAAGACTCGACTAGACACTTATGAGTATTCATGAGGTCTTGTCTCGAAACTACGGAGTAACGCAGACATCATTCCCGGGCACTTCTGGGAAGTCCAACAAATGAATATGGATGATGGGAATGAAACGGAGTCAGCGAGTTTGAAGTTCTTGCCTCTTCGAGGATCGGGTCGAAACCGGCATACAAATAAGATGAAAAATATATCCGAGGAAATTACACAACAAAAAAAGGAAGAAGAACAAAAAAACTCCCTAACTTACATCATTTGGGATTAAAGAAATAAAAGTTGGGTCGCGAATTAAACAGTTGAAGAGACTAGATCACGAGACTCGGGACTCTGAAAAGCCTGTTATAACCAATAGTTAGCACTCTACGGAGAAGTTGGCTAAATAAACAAAAGCTACCATTTTTATCATTTTGATTTTTGCCTTGTCAGCCAAAATGAGATCCCAAGGAATGACAGATCTGCATGCCGTCAACTTTGATGTTTAAACATTCCTTCAGAGGCGCATTTTTTCCGCGGAGGAAAAGGAAAAAGGAGGAAATATGAGAAGAACAGCTGTAATAGAAAGCCTGTTTCGAAGATCTAAGCGTAAACCCAGTTGGCACTCTATTCACAATGGTGAAAAGGGCAAACTAGAGGGTGTCTTAGCGTTCTCGTTTACACATATGCGTTAAACAGAGATCTCAAGTTTCACTCGTGCAAGCACTGTGTTCATCATCCATAGTAAGGGTAAATTGGTGGTGCCCCCCAGTGGTATGGGTGGTGCCCTCTAGTCTCGACGCACTTCTGACATCTCAATGGGTTTGCTTGCGGATCTGTCACTTCGATTGCATCTGCAGTGTTTGCGTGTTGGAGATTATTACGTACGCCTTGGTTTTCAAAGTTCCCCACAATTAAATCGTAATAAGCCGCAGCCACTTAGCTCGACCACGTAATGTCTTCTACATGTATTTAGGGGTACGCCCTTGCGTGGAACACCCTGTATAATTCTGTAGAAAGGGGGGGGGGGGGGGGGGGGGGGGGGGGGGGGATGAAGTAAAATTGTCCCTTTTTTTCGTCATTTAATAAAAGTAGCGCAATTATTTTTGTTTTAGTTCTAGAGTGACCTTTTTAGTCATCATGCGAGCATGAAAGCTATGGCAATATTTCTTGTCACGTATGTATCGTGAGATACGCCATGACAATTTCGCTCCCTCGTGAATCTTGTTGACTTAGAAAGAGAAACCATCAGTGGAAACACGTAAGAGTGATGTTATGTTTCGCAATAGAAGTGGAGTTCCGCATCGATTCAAGCAGCAAACAAGAGCCAGTACGAGGGAAGCGCAAAAGAAACCCTTTGCGGGTGCATTTTCACTTCTAAAACGGCTGTATGATTGTGGGAATGGAGTTTCACGAGAGAGAAAACTTTCATTCTCTTATGAGGACTAAAAAGGTCACTCTAGAACTAAAACAAAAATAATTGCGCTACTTTTATTAAATGACGAAAAAAAGGGACAATTTTACTTCATTTCTGTCGAGAGACACCTTAACATAAAATTCTAATCACTTCATTTAACAACGAAGTTAAGTTACTTAGACCCTCGATCACAAGTGTGCACAAAGTTTTCATATAATCGTAGAGAACAATCAGGTCTCATGAGGTTGCAGACCTCGCCGAGACTCCCTTCCCAAGCGACACCTATATGCTACTGAATAGACGGCAGTTGCTTTAAAATAAGAAAGATGGCAAGAGCTACTCAAACAATCGCCGAACATTCACGTGAAGCCTCTGCTCTGAATGGTACTGCTGCTCTCCGAATGGTTCAAGCATGAAAAGCACAAAAATTGTCACAAGCAAATTTAATGTCCCAACGGGGGTCTTCGATTAAAAAAAAAAACCGTACAAGCTTAGTCACATGTAAGCCATGTAAGGTCTACAAAAAAAGGTAAATGCCATGACGTCCCAAGGAAGCGAGTTGACGTATGTTGGAAGGAGGATGCAGGAAAGTTGGGAGCATTAAAATAAACAATCTATGTCTGGGGCAAATAGCATTGCGTCTGCCAAGTCCTATTCCCAGCCCCCAACGAGGACCAAAAAGAGCCACGCATTCCTGACAGTGTGAACTAGGACTTAGTTCATTTGCGAGTACGAATGCTTAGCAAAGAATTCGAAGCAAATGAGTATAAAATCATTGGAATATAAAATTGGAGTATAAAATAAAATCATTGGAATCGGTAATATCATGACAGGGATGAAGAAAAAAAAATATAAAAAGAGGTATTTTCTGCTGGTAGAGGACACTGCTGCAAGCAGAAAGATAACCCCGCAATTGCACCTATTTTACCCGGAGAACGAGGTAGTTTACGAGATCTGCTCCTTTCCATTCATAACAGCTTGTTGACACCCGAGTCCTCGTGCATGGCAGAGCTATCCTGGCCGCACATTATATTTCGGGTAACTCGGTCAGATCGGATACATGCGTGCAGAAAAACGGTCAAAGCAGTCTTTTGCGAGTATCCATGGATACTGCGATACTAAGGTACATTTTTCCCATCGGGGCCATATCGCTTCTTCACAATTTCACACACATTAGCAACGTCTGTACGCTGAATGTCTAAAGTCCGACTTCCTCTCACGTCTCCCACTTTGACACTGTTTGCTCGAATTAAAAAACTGCCCTTTAAGAGAACTGCGATTTACAGAGCCACTTCAGTAGCAGAATGTAGGTTGCTTTTCCATATCTACTGGCATCACCCTCCAACTGCAATCCAGATGTGATCGTTTGAAACAAGTTGGGCAAGCCCAATCCAGTAGTGGGCCTCCTTTCAGCTAAGGAAACCCTCATTTTGTCACCTAATTGTACTGAATACCATCTCTTTTCGGTCATAGACCATCAAAAACCTCATTTCTCATTTATATTTGGTAAACATAGACTAACGGTGGCCATGAAACGATGATGGGAGGATGGAGGGCTGTGCGTGGTAGGATCCATCCGCCACGAAGGTTGGTGGGGAACTGACAGCTCTGGTTGCTGACACGGCGCCGCGCCCAAAGCAGAGTAAAGAGAGTATAGCTAGAGACGTCACTCCGCTCGAATCCGATTCATTGACAGGGTTGCAATACAGATGTCGCTGTCGATCCTCCATCGTGCGCACATTAAAAACTCCATGGCCGAGCAGCTGACTCAGCGAGACAAGCGTGTTACGTTGATGGATCCCTTTGGTTCGAATCCCCGACTGAGTCGATTCCTGATTTCACTGCCACGAAGCACGCCTCGAGGAAGTCTTGTTGATAACAAGCCACCAGATGTCTCTGTAATATTTCGACCCTCCCCTACCCCTCGGAGTGTCGCCTCTAGTTACACTCTACTCTATGCCCTAAGCCTGGGCCGTACGCGCATGCGCATTGTGGTCCAGAACCTGAAGGACTCACGGGTCCTCATGCCTTCCCCTCCGGGGCCGAATTTCAAATCCAAAATTTGCAATAAAAATGCCAATTTTGGTGCAAATTCGCCACAAAACAAACTCAGCTTGTATCTTGTTCATATCTACCAGCTTGCCAATTTCACATTGACCAGGCCAATATTTTGTTAGTTATCGTCGGACAACCAAAGTATGACACACGGACGGACAGGGCAGGAACATAAGTGGTCTCTTTCCTTTCAGGAAAAAAGGCCATCTCAAAATCGCAATAAACACAGGCCCTTTTTCTTTCGCTCTATTGCTACCCCGAACCCCTTACTTTTTTATAATTATAAATGCAGCACGTCGGGGGAAAGGGCGATTATTCTTTTGCAGTTAAAAAAGTAATTAAAGTGTGGCAGCAGCGGATAATTGCTATTTTTTCACAGATCAGATTCACTCCATTCTGGAGATGGCATGATAGCTTTTCATACTTTGTGAACCTCATATCAAAAACTTAACATGGGCTCCTCTTCCACCATCCTACAAACTTTCCAATCAAGAATCCAGGAAGAAATGAATTCACAATAGATATCAACACAAACTCATAGGTATATTCTACCGATTAAAGGAATTTCTTTTCATCTGTTCATATCCTCCACAGCAATGAGCAAAAACATAATGTCATGAGTGATCATTGGCGTTCGTTATTACAGTGTCACACATCCATGCTTACAAATGAATCTATGAATCAAGAGTCATTCTGGTCACAAAAACCAACACAACTCAAGTCAGCTATACAATGGCAAACACTACTCAAAGAGATCAAGGCAGAGATGAACTGGAAAGGGAACCAGCACCGGGAGCCTTATTTTAAAACCCAGAAATTCTGCCTGTGGTTGAAGGAAAGAGAAAACAGCTGCAGATCAAGCAATAATCCCCAGGCCACAAAATATATCATGAAAACCATGATTCAGCGACTGTAGAAGAAACAGCATGGAAAAAGGTGGCTCCAAAGTTCACATTGAAGGGAGGAGGGAAGAGAATAATCAAGTTCAGCATTGCTGCAGAGGATGGGGCAATCTGCACACACATGATACACTGTATTAAAAAAAGATAAAAATGTGATAGCATGCAGCATGAAGAAAATGGATGCAAAGCCGAGATCCTATTTCACTGGTTCATGGTGCATTTTTAATTCTGTCATGACATCTTGGAGCTTCTGGCTCATAGGGTCACAACTTGCAGGCCGCTTGATTGGAGGTTCATCTGTTCCATCATCAGGGAGAAGATGCTTTCTAGCCTTTGATAGACGAACTAAATTGTTGATGGCTTGCAATTCCTGCCCAGCGCTCCTGTTGAAGCTGTACTTGACTTTGTAAGGCAGTACTAAATTTTTGTAATCCAGTCCTAGAGGACTGACATAGATTTCATGATCATTGGCCACCTTCCTTCTTGGAGAGAGGTGGTGCTTGTTGGATACCATGAGGGGGGATAAGGGAGGGTGGCCTGTGGGCTCTCTTCCATTACCTGTTGAAAACCTCATGGCAAACGGTTTCAGTTTCTGCATGTAGACTGCATTGTAGAAGCTGATCAGGTCACCTCTATCTTCCAGTTCAAAACTTGAACTTGTGCCTGCCAGTTGAGTGGGTGTGGGTGGGGCAGAAGGAGGCTGTTGTGGGAGGGTGCTTGAGGAACGCATGCTTGTGGTCTCCTCAGAAGAACGACCATTGCTGTCTTCCTTTTCGCTGGATGACTGTGAATCACTGGATCCAGATCCACGCCTGCGCTTGTTGCGAAGCAGCACTGATCTATAGACATGTGAACATGCCTGTGGTTGAAGTCTATAGCAGCGCATGATCTCCTGAAAGGTTCGATCTTCTCGTGTGATCTTGCACATTATGTAAACTGAACACATCAGAAGTTGGTCCAAATGCCTGTCCATCATGAGTTCATAATAATTTGTAATTGAATGCTCAAAGCAGGTCCAGATCTTTCTCTGGAGGTCAATTTCATTGATTTCAAGAAGCTGACAGAGATGCTGAAGACGGACTGAGGCCAAGTGATAGAATTTGCGAAGGAAGAAATGCAGAGATCCCTTTCTTGGTTTATTATCCTTTTTCCCATCAATATTGCTTGTATGCTTCTTTTCATTTGTGATGAGAATAGACTTCATGGGTTTTGCTGAATGCATATCAGGGAAAACAGGCAAGGCCAAAGCTAACCTCTCACCCCTCAAATTGGTATTAGGAATGGTTGCAGTTGCAATGGTAATGGGTGCTTGTTCAAAGAGACGTCGCCTAGCACTGTTGGGTGGGACTGGGGATTGAAAACACTCAGCCACCCTAACTGGACTTGACCTTGAAGGAGGATTCTTATCAGCTGATACCATGGATCCAGGAGTGAGATGACTCAGAGGAGATGATGACAGCTGAGACGGGGACTGTGTTATACTCAACTGACTAGGCAAGGATACTTCCTCACAAGATGGCACATGGTCAACTTCTTGGAGCTTCTCCCATAAGGGACTATCACTCTTCCATGCTAAGGATTCAAACACCTGCTCCTCAATGGCATTCAAGTGCTTCACAATATCTCGTGACAGTTGATTTTCAGCCCTGATGTAGACTTCAATTATGCGATAAAAGATGTAAGGCTCCAAATTCAGGACCTCAAGAATCCATGGGAAGGACCGCTGAGAGTTATATGAAAAAATCACTATCTCCATGCAGCAGGCAAACAAACAACGATGTAATGCATCTTGGGAAAGGAGGTTGGTAAGATCAGCACTGTCATTGTTTAGCCTCTTCTGTTCAGCCAACAAGACACTCTCAAGGGCCTTATAATAAAGACTCTCCCCAAGCTGAAGACGTTTCCTTGCAAACTCCATGTCAGACCCTGGATGATTCTCTGATGGCTGAGTAAAACTTTCACAAAAAGCATCTCCCATTACTTTCAGTCTCTTTTGAATCTCTGTCAAGGAGTTCTCTTGACAATTTTTGAAAACTGAGATCAATGTTTCACTGGGTACATTAGTATGGCCCTGAAGCAGTTTTTGAAGCTTGGAAACACTGTGTGTGGCATTAGAAATAGGAGTGTTGCAACCTTCTTTGGCTTTCAGGAACATACGACCTGTCAAAGGTGTAGCACTAACAAGAGAGAACGGGGAATGGACCTTTTGAGGAGAAGATTGTGGTTGCTGCTTCTCACGCTTCTCACGCATGCGGGATGTCAGTTCCGCTGTGCCAGAATTCCCATCTTTGACACCCAATGCAGGATCATCTTGCAGGAAGATCATCTCATCAAAGTCACCACCATTGAGAACAGCTACATCGTATTCCTTCTTGATCATCTTCATATTGTGCTCCATGTGGTGTGGGTCAAGTAGTCCAGAGAAAGTGCTAGACTTTCCTTTCAGAATTTTTTTCTCTACCAGGATTTTGATTCTTGGCTTGCACCAATGTTCCTTGATTCCCTTTGCCTCTAGGACAATCCCATCATGAGATTTACACAAGAGCTCAATAGTGCAAGGCAACTCCTTCGGTGGCTGATAGTCAGTAGAGTGATAATTCTGAGGCAATCCTCCAAAGGAATCACGGATGATGTCTCGTCGATCATCCAACAATGCATTTCCAAAGACCAAATCACAACAAGCCATAAGCAAGTGATAAGAATTGACCAGATCAGTTCTGATGGCAGGGAAATGCCCCTTAATATAAACAAAAAGCAACCAGGTAAATTCCATGAGTTCTTTGGATGAGCAAGGAAGCTTTGTCCTCTGTTTACGAGATCGTGGGGGGCGGGGTGGGTCATTTGCAGGATCTTTGAACATTTGGAGAAAAATGGGGATAAACTTCTGAAATAATACCTTTGAGACAGCGAAGTTATGCTCCAGTCTCTCTATTTTCTCCCTGAAACTTGCAGGAGAGTTGGCCATATCAACCCATTTCTTTGCTTTCTTGAAAAAATCAGTGATTGAGATTTGGCAGGATTTCAGAAGGCGCATCAAGGACACATAATTCCCTTCAACAACAGAACTACTGTTCCCAACAGCCGGCACTGAACTTTTCCTGCAGGCAACATAAAAGGCACATGCGAGCCAGTGCAGAGGATTGCCCTCCAAGGTATAATTCTGAGAAATCTTGTTGTATGATTGGTAAGCATCTTCAGCAGTGTTCTTGTCCATGTTTAAGTCAGCGCAAACATCCAACCACATCTTCCAAATATCCTCATCCTGCCCTTGACCCATTTTGATCACGTCTTGGGGAAACCTGCAACAAAAACAGGTTACCATATGTAGAATGCTTTTTAAAAAGAAATTTAAAAATATATAATAGTAATACATGCTTCAGTTTCAAGGATTTATCATGAGAAATTTATGATGCTATTGTATATGGGTGACATCAAAGAATATGCTAATGCAAACCATGCAAAAATGAAATAATCTTTAATACAAAATACATAAAATTAATCAAGTTAGGGTTCCATCTAATCTATCTAGTCTAGTAAATGCTAAATATATCTAGTCGAGTAGTCTGAATGCCAAAAAGTAATAGGAAAGACCCTATTTCCTCCAAAACTCCATTTTGCACTACAATAAGCAAACTTTTCATGTCAATGCCTAGGAATGAGGTCTTTCATCATTCATGTTGAAAATTATGTTCTGACTGCTGCAAGATGGGGCTCTAGCTCATTACACTCACTGCATAAGCCAATTGATTGATGATCAGTACTAGTAAGACTGCAGTTGTGAAAAAAAAACTTGAATGGTGGTTACATAGCAGTTCTAGTGGAAAGCAAAATGGCTATAAATACTTCATAAATATCCATTTTTATGTGTACCACTTTTTAGTTCTATTGCTTTTCAATAAAAAGTTTTGTTAGAGTCCAAACAGATTTTCTTACTTTTGGCCCACCCAGTATTATCACATGAGATTTCATGTATTTCAATGGCTTCCATTTACTGAAATAATCCCAAGCCAATAGCACCTTATTATAAAGCATATGGTCCTTCAGTTTAAAGGCATGACAAATGATTGGCCAATGAGTATACAATTCTGTTATAACATTTACTTTATGAAATTCTGAGACCTGATGGGCTTCACAATTTCTTCTATAGATGAATTGGAGATCCTTCTGATTTGATGAAATTACCTGGTTGAATGAACAATCAATGTTTGCAGTTGAAGGACTGCCATTAACCCTTTCACTAGTGAGTTTTGAGATAAATTTTCTCTTACATAAGTTCAGCCCAATAAATTCTGGAGGATACCAGTGAAAGAGTTAATACAGCAATGTATATTTAAAATAGGGGCTTTCATAAATGAAGGCTAATGCTCATCATTCATGAAAGCCAAATCTGAACTCAATGACTCCTCTCATATAATTAAATAATTATTCCTTTGAGAACAAAGAGATCCTGACAATTAAAGGTGTATGCATAAGCCTAATGTCGGAAAGTTTTGCACTTTGTAAATAAAGTAAAATAGAAGTAGTTGAGGCAGAACATTTCCTTACAAGTAATTTCGATTCTCATTTGCATAGTTATTGTCCTGGTAGGACGGACCAAAGGTTCTTTCCCTTTGTCAGCCAGTATCCCAGGAAAGCAGTCATCAACAAGATGAACTCTCTTAAGGTGATATGATAGATCAATGCAAAGGCTTAAGAAAGTCTATAGGTCTACATGACCCGAGTGTGTCAGTTGCAATGGAGTGTCAACCCTTTAAATCCCAAGCCAATACTTGTAATGACCTCCTGGGCTATACCATCCAAATCCAACTCTGACCAAAGCTAGAGTGCATGCATAACTGTGGAAACTTGGGAGTTAAAGGGTTAAAGGCCAACAATACCAAATGAAAGCAAACATATCCAGTTCCTTTTCTGTTCATATTATATGCACTTTTTTCATGTAAAAACAATGAAGTTGCATTAATTTCAGTCTCATTGCCTACAGAATTTTTTACCTGGCAACTTATTATGCAGTAGGAAAACCTCAGTGTTCCTGGATGTTCAAAATAGATCTGGAATCATCTGGTCACCTTTACATAAAAATAATCATGGATCAATTATACAAAATGATGATAAAATTTTTTAAAAGCAAGTAAACAATGCCAAGTACTAAATACTTTTTCAGGAAAAAGTAAACGCATTACAGGAAGATAACCCAAGATGATGATTAATCCATTACTATTACTGCAATGCATGGCTGCAAAAAGTAAAGTTCCAGATTACAACAATGCAATTCTTCCATAACACTCCTCATCCTTCTAATGCCAGTGGCTGCAACACAGCTTTGGACATATGCTACCTAATGGTAGTTTCATTCAGTGATGAGTCTCAGCAGGGGAATCCAAATGCCCAGTCTATTGGTTTAGGATTCAGTTAAGAAGCCATCACCTACTAATATGGTGTTGCTCCACCAGTAACACAGAGATCAGGAGTTGGGTATAAACCTGGACAGCACATATGCACCTAGAATGCACTTCCACACATCTAGGCCTATTTTTGTTATGAAGACTTACTTCCATTGTATGCCAGTACACCAATAGGAAATATGCCTAGAACAAATGGTGCACAAACTCAGGATATTGGCTAGGTCTAAACCCTGTTATGTTTTCATTTATTCTCAAATCTCCCCCTTTATACTTGAATGACACTAGCTATATTTGAACCACAATTAGATTTCTCTGATTTTTAGGGTCCTGCTTCTGATGGGCCCTCTTTAGAAAACATTAAACAATGGACTTACTTCGTATTCAAAAAACTTGGTAGAAGAAAAAAATAACTGGAAATAGCTTGGAAGCAGGCAGGAATAAACCTTGCAATGCTTGGTATAGACATCTTGAGTCTTAATCAACTATAAGGCCCCAAGCTCTCACTTTCAAAGTAGGGGCAAGCAGTCGGGATATGAATAGTAGTAATTTTGCCATCTAAGTAAAAAGTCTGCACCTTTCAACTTATTTCTCTCTCAATTACTGAAAACTAATGACGATATCCAGGCCACAAGGACCTGCACGAAGGTCGCAGATTCACTTCGAGTTTCTGTAAGAATTAGCTCAATGTCCGTGTCATCATCATATGCTAGGCCCTCAAGTGATACTTGGCTAAAAGTGAACTTAACTGAGACAAAAATCATATAATGAGGAATCACGCTTCCTGGGTAGCTTTACATTCTCATCCCAATCTTTGGAATAAGGCTTTGATGGGGTAATTCCATATCCTGGGATAACTCTCCGATAGGATAATTCAGTTTTCGAGGATAAGACATCGATAAGAGCTGTCTAGGCCGGCATGAATATCGCATGATCTGCCACTAATCAAATTTTCTTCGCTGAAACACATAGCACATGAGTAAAGGCATCCTTCACCAGCTTAATCTTAGCGCTAGACAATACTGGTCTCAGCTGACAGAGACGGCATAAAAACAGAACGCCGACATTTCAGTTTGGCGGGAAGGATGCAGACGACGCCCTTTCTTCAACCAATCAGCATTGGCATGCGGTTTAAGCACAAATAAACACATATCCAGCATCCTTAATATTTGGACTTATTCAGTAAAATTTGAAGCACTTAAATTGTCATAAGGCTATATTTGAGATGTGATAAAGTGGAACTTTCCGAGGATAATGAAGATTGTGCAATATCTATATGATCTACTAGAATTCCCGGCTACATCGCGTTTCCACGAAGGTCGAATATTCGCGAACCGCATGGCCTCCTGCAGTGTTTTTAGATTGCAATAGGACCTAATACTTCATGTTAATCCTTCCATGTTAAGAGCGGTATTTCGTCAAAAGAAAGTCTTCAACTTTTAAACTAGGCCTATGTAAATTCACCATTAATATAAGTTAAGTGTGCTGAGGGGTAGTGTCCTCGAGCGGTTTTCCCATCTGTATTTGTCATTTTTTCATGAAATTATCTAAATCCAGAACTGCACTGAACTCAGTTATCCCTGGGGTTTTTCTTCTTCATTCAAATCCCCAAATTGTATAATTATAAGTGAATTTGTCTTAAATCGACATCATATGGCATTGTGATAGGTTTTCAGACTGTTACTTAAGCAAGATGAGAGAGCTTTGTGTTACAAAAATTATTATGCTGTGAATTTCTTAATGCATGTGACTGCATATGAACCATCATGAAATAGGGCTGTAATTCAAGTTATGAGAAGGAAGCCATTGCCGAGGGTTAATTGAGAATAACTGGAAGTTGATGCATGAACCATGTTAAAAAGGAATGGTTAATATTGCTTTAGTATGTTTCCTTGTAATTATTTGCCCTCATTTTAAGTTCATGGGATTGCTTTTGTAAAGGTGTCGCTCTTATACTCCTGAAATAGTCATGAAGTTCAAATTGTTTTTATGTGAGGAACAAGACTTAAACGCTTTCACTTTCTATTAGGAAAGAAATTGTACTTAAGAATCTTTCTCTGTGGATGTAGACAATGGAAATTTGTTATAGTGATTCTGCTGGGTTAGATTTATTTTCCTGAGAAGCACTTCCATCTATGTCATCAGATTTGTTCATGCATGCCAATTTTTGGATTAAGCACTAAATTAGTTGAGCAGTTTTTCAAGCACTGACTGATCAGAAATGATGTGCAAGATGCAAGGAAAGCATTTCAGAAGAATTAAATTGAAATTATTAAATGGCTACCTAGTGTTATGGATACTAGGATGATGAAACATATGCTTTTGACAGGAATATTTTGTTATGGGATGCATAAGTATAGCATGGTTGGGAAAAAAAAAATGGGGGGGAGTCATGGGTACTCTGGGATACTGTTATGTATTACATGGGTCTTTCTTTTCTTTTATGGCTTCTTTTCTTGAAAAAGCCCTAGCCCCCATGCATTATGCTGCTGATGGGATGAGTTTGAAAATGTTGAAGTCTTTGGTCAAGGAGATTTGTACATGTTGGCAATAATAGTGTAAAAAGATGTTCTTGAATTTGAGTGTGAGGAAATTATTTCCACATTTTTAGCCTATGTATAAATTTTCCAAGAATTAGAAACTACATCTTCCAGTTTGCTAGAATATTCTTAATAACTGAATAAGGAAAATAATTGTGTTTTTTTGGTGGTGTTGAATTATAAAAAATATGCTTAATAGGTAAACATACTTAGTAACAGGAAGTTAGTGCTTTCTGTGGTATTCTATTTGTAACTTGGGACTTAATTCCAAGAAAACTGCTCTACTTGCCTTAGTTTACCTTAATCTGCAATAAAGTATTACCTTGGCTACATATACG